CAGAGATCTAGTGACAACATCTTATACAAGGCTCCTATGTTGTCTAACAACTGACCGACAGGGGTGAAAAAGGGGATTCTCATAGGGGATTGCTTCGTTTTCTGAAATCCAGTCTACTCGGCAACACTCTCAGGTCCAGGGGCTGGGAGAGGGTCTGTGGGCACAATATGGTGGATGACCTGATGGTCCCACCCCACTGTGGTGAGGAGGGAGTGATTGAGTGGAGACCAAGTAGCATCTCTCACAAAGTCTCTGTGGGCTCGGCTTCTAAACCTAGAACAAAGAGGAAAAAATAAAGTTTAGGCACAATAGACAGAAGATGAAAAATCACACCTGAAGAACAGAGAACCCAACACACCAGGGCACATCTTTTGATATGTTATACACATTTCACCATCTGTGTGGCCTTATCACCAGGACAGCAGTATAGCTATCCGCAGTGGATGTCACCAATCATCCAATCCACTCTTCTATTTCATAGATGAAGAAATGGTAGATACAATGAGGTAGTAACAAGGGCCAGGGTTTGGCAGCAAATCATGACAAAGAAAGGTGTACAACTCAGATCTTCTATCCAGCAGAGCCTTTAGGTTGCATTTCATATATGTGGTTCTCTATGTGAAGAGGGTAGACTGCCCCCTTGTGGGTAAGAGCTGGAACGTTAGGCTTAGAAATTTTACCCACCACTCATAGTCCTCCTCTAAGAACACTGCTGACTATAAATCAGTCCCAGGAACACCATGGCTCATCTACGGACTGCCTATTTGGAATGTTCAAATCCCTCAGATAACAGACAGAGAACTTTCAGGGATGTAGTTCAAGTGGTAAACCACTTGCCTACCAAGAGTGAGGCCATTGGTTAAATCCATAGTACTGCAAAATAAAAAAAGTTACATGGAAAATTTTTCCTCCAAAGAGGCAATGTACCTGAAGAGAAAAAGGACCTGCTTGCCCACTGCTCCCCCTCCTGATTCCTGATCACAGGACTTCAAACTTACACTTCAGAAAGACTGGAGTCCAGCACAGCAAGTGAGCAGTCTTCACTGAGGGAGGCCAGGAAGGGAACACTAGAAGAGGGCAGAGAGGAATGTGAAAGGTAAAGCCCACAGATTCCAAGAAAAAAAAAAAAAAAACGTTGTCTCCCCACTTTGGGTTAAGAGCTGGCTACCATTATAAATTCCAAGGGAAGATGAAGGAGCAAAGCCAGGTTCATAAACATCATCCTAGCAACTAACCACCCCATCAGGTCCCTCTTTATAGCTTCAACAACGCAGGGACACAGGCTCTCGCAACCACATAGTACTAGAAGACTATCACAGGATTCATTCATGTTGGGTGCCAAGCTGTTCATTCATTTCCAGACAGCCTATGCAACCCATATAAGGACGAGTCTTCAGAGACCATTGCTGCTTAGAAACCTCAGTTAGAGCACTGCTGGCTCTCAGGAACAATCTAACCAGCTAATGCTTTCCTAGAGACACATCCCCTTCACTGTTCCGAGCTTACCAGACCCCTGGTGACAAAGAACAGTACCTGTGTGGGGAGAACACAAGTCTAGTGACACACTGGGTGTGCACAGCTGATTTGAGGGCACAGTTTGCACTTTTGGTGTCCACAAGAGAGACAGTCCCATTCTCATCACCTTTAGAAGAGAGAGAGCATGTCACAGTGGTTAACAACATGGGCTTTGATGTTAGCCAGACCTGGATTTGAATCCTTGTCTCTTAAGCTTGGACCAGTTAACCACTCTGAGCATCAGTTTTCTCTTTTGCAGAATAGGGATAATAATCACTAGGTGGCTGTGAAAATTAAATTAATGAAGTAGCTATGATTTTAACCATAAACTATTACCATATGCACAGCATTATTACTGCCATAGCAAAACACCTACCCATAGAGCAACAGAATTCCCTGTAGCAAACCGCTTGTTTTGTGGCTGACTTCTAACTATGCCCAGAAAAGGGGAGCCAGAATAATCACAAATCAAATACACTGGGGAAAAAAAAAAAATAGATTCTCCGAAGTTAAATTAAAACTAACACAATCACCAAGTGCCCAAGCGTGCTGCCAGGATTAAACAGGAAGAGCACAGCACGTGGGATTAGCTCTCTCTCTCATCCTCCCTCTTCCCAGAGTCACTATATAATCTGTCATGCTGTCTTACCAAAGACAAAGACTTCGCTTTGCTGAGGATGCCAAGCCAGGGAGGTAGGAAGGTAACCAGAGGCATTACAGCCTGCAAAGAAGAGAAGGGAGGTTTTGAACAAAACTCAGAACCTAGAAGAAGCAATTTCTCTAAATCCCAGGAGCACCTTCTTCCAGGTTCTCAAACTCTACCAAGGCAGTAGTGTCCTCATCCCTGACCTTACAACCTTTGTTTATCCAATCACTGGGGGCCACAAGTCTCAGTTACATTTCAAGTACATAAATAACAATCCTAGTTCCTCTGCCAAGCTGTTAACAGAGTAAATCATCCACTCAAGAACCAGCCCTTCCTCTTGGTATTCTTTGCATAGAATGGAGTTAGCATGAAGGGGAAAGGAATTATGTCACGGTGACTGGTCACCTGGCAATTCTGCTTTGACTCTGGCAAAAGAGACTCTCTTCTAGGTGGGTTCCAAGAACCAACCCCTCATCACTGACTATCAGACTCACCCATCTGTGATGCTGGCTTGGGGCAACGGGTATCCCAGAGTAAAATTCTATTGTCCTAGGAAGAAAAGGAAAAGGGCTTTACAATACAAAGAAACAGAAAGCCAGGTCTCCATACCAAAGATTTTTGGCCTACTAAGGGTTGGGATGGGGTTTGGGGGCAGGAGAAGAGCCTGTATCTCACCTCACTGCATGAAAGAAACACAGAGTCCTTGTGGGGAGAGGCAGCAACACAGGCAACCTGCCCTGCGTGAGCTGTAAAAAAAACATTACAGAGAAGAGACTGGGAATATTATAAGGCAAGTCTAGATAAAATCATGGGGGCAGGAGGGATATATTAGACAGTTAGTAAGAATAATGAAGGACTCTGTAGTTAGTTAAGATTTCCTGAATGAATGTACTACATAATTCCAGAAGAGCAGTTTTTGTACTAGAAATACACATGCCTCTAAACAGTATCCAAAAACTTCCAAGGGAGTTTTAGGGGCTTAGAGTTTCAAGCAAATCAATTCCGCCAATGTTCTTATTCCTAAAATTTAACGGTCTCTACCTTTACAATCACCCTTTACCCACTTTATAAAAGGAACACATACCCCTCACCCAACCCAAATCTTCTAATGCCACAGGGCTCAAATATGTAAAAATCTAAGGGTATCACACCAAGGGCCAAAGAACAAAAGAAAGAGCATCTGGGTGATGCCAAGTGAAGGGGACTGACCTTATTTCAGTCACACCACAAACACAAGTGTAGCTCTGTGACTTTTCTGCATTTGTCTAATAATGAGAACTAAAACATATGATGACTACTATTAGACTCTTAAGAAGTTTATCAAATTTCCAAATTAAGTCAGACTTTTTCTGAAGAAAGTGAAGTCTACCTTGGCCAAATGGATTAACAGTGCATATTGGCTTTTGTCATTAGGCAATTTTGTAGACATTTTTCATAAACAGGCTTGCTCGACAAACTTAAAATTTTGACAAATACACACTTAGAACAATGTATAATAAATGACATGCCAGTGATCAGCCTTTGCAATTACCTAAAATCTCTTATATACCAATTTTAAAATGGTGAGAGGGTGCAGCTTTTAAATTCTACATGCAAAAAAACTGTGAAGATCACTGTTATGCTTTAATTCAAGGCTGAACAAAACACCATCTCTCTCATGCACAGATGGCATAGCTCAAGTGGTAGAGCACCTGACTAGCAAGTGCGAGGCCCTAAGTTCAACCCCCAGTACCACCAAAACCCCATCTCTAAAGTCACTTCACTAGACCTTTCAGGGAAGTCTGAATGTGGCCCTGCCCTGAGGATTAAACCTCCTTCTTTTCTAGCCCTAGAATCTATCTTTCATGAATCAAAAATTCATCAAGAATAGCTACCAAAATAAAGTCAACTACTAGCACGATTGATGAAGGTAAGTAGATATAGAACATTAAAAAAAAGTGATGGCATACCCCAGAAAAAATATTTTACGGAGACAAATATTCAAAAGTTCCATATTCAAAAGTCTCAGGGCATATATTCCTTGAGAATGTCAAGGCTCCATTATGCTTGGGTTAAACAAATGAAGTAGTCTAGAAATGGGAATGACAGTAAGAGCACTTGAATGATGTGACAAGAAAATAGGATTTTAATTTGCAGGCCACAACAAACCAACTAAGATTCAAGAGTAGAAGAATGCAGGTAAATGAGTATACCACCTCTTGGAGGTAAAGCCTGGAAGTGAATGAGATGTAAGAAATGTACAGGAAGGTGATGGACCAAATGGAGAAAGATTCAAAGGAACATGGTGACCAAATGAGAGTGTAAGCCCTATGTAGCCAAGAAGGTATAAGACAACAGAAACAGGGAAATTGAGAAAAAGGCAAGGGATAAATATTGGAGCCTGAGAATTGTTAGAGAAAAAAACACCTCCAAGCAGAACATGGAACTGTTGCTCCTAATAGCCAAGCAAGGTTCACAGAGCGCAGAGGGCAGAATAAAAGCAAGACAGCTAAGGCCAGACTGAAAAGCAAGAAATACTCACCTCGGTATGAACTCAGTACCATCTGCTGAGCAAGGTCCCAAATCTTGATACTAAGAAGCAAAAGAGACAGGATGCAGACACTTAATCTTGACCTACATTATCAATATAAAAATGTGTTCAAACAAGAACTTCCTGTAACCAACACATCCCATATCTTTGCCTCCTGGACTCCTGCTGTGGTCTATTTACAGTGGATTGCTAAATCTAAGGAAACCTTATGGATATATCATAATAGTCACTAGATTCTTACATGGAGTACAAAAATTACTTAATGAGGCTAACAGGATAGTAAGGACACCCACAGGAAGCCTAGAGACAGGGCTGAGGAGAGCAGGGACCCACCAGAAGTCTTTGCTACCACTGACAGCTTGTGTGCCAGAGCTCAGGACACTGACCGTAGACACAATGTCATCATGCTCATACTTGCAGAACTTGCTGA